GGCTTACATATTTCAGTTTACTATTTCAGGTACTTCAGGAGATCGTGGAAAGGCGAAGGTATGACCGTATCACTCCTCATCCTTATGTTATGATTTTTGGGACACTCTAATGGAAAATGATTTGAAAACATTTTGTAAACAATGCTACGTGGTTTTTAATTATGATTGAAAAAGATTAAATTTTGTGTGAATTTTATGGATGTTACAAGTTGGTATCAGAGCCTTGGTTTGAGTGAATTGGAGGAACACTCGTGTGAATCCAGTCTCAAATCAAGGAGATTTTTGTAAATAAGTTTAAAATGGTTTTCAAAATAAAGGATGGAGGATGCAGAGGGTACGATCAGCCGGAGCCTGTAAGTAAACCCCAAAATTCCATGCAGTTTATTTGATATTCTGATGTGTTAGAACAACATGCTAGTGCTAGGCTAGGGATCTTTAGCAATCACATGTTAGATTTGCCTGATTGCATGATGCCTATTAGCCTAGGGTTTCTTGTATGTGGAATTGACATCATAATTGTAGATGTTAGTGTATGCATCACGAATGTGCATAATAAAGACCTTATAGCCTGAGAATGTTGATTCGGCCTTCGAGAAGGATCGGATATTCGAAATTCTATTGGGTCCAGCGTTATGTGCAGCTAGCTTGCATTAGCGCTGCAGGGGATGATGGAAGTTTCATGAATGTGAGAGTCGTGTTAAGTGGTGATCCTAGATGCGAGGTATTTTGTATTCCCCTAGAATGAGGGTTGAGCACATTTCCTATGTTGATGATATTGTTAGGGCGTTGTGGTGATACTTGAGACAAATATGGGTAGGTGTGGAAGGTAGTATGGTCCCATACGACTGAAAGCACAGGACCCATACGTGTAGCAAGGAAGTCACAACCCCTAGGGTTTTTGGGTTTTGGTCTCCCGACATTATGTTATTTATCTAATGACTTGTGTGTGTGTGTGTGTGTGTATATATATATATATATATATATATATATATATATATATATATATATTTCAGTATAGTGGTGACGAGACGTGTTGCTTCGGGATCCGGATCAGGATCGGGATCGGGGTCGGGAGACGGAGGGTTGGAGGTGCCAGTAGCACCCGAGCCCTTGGTTCAGATAGGGACAGAGGAGTTGGATGCCAGGATCCGAGAGATCATGCACGACGAGATTTTTGTGGCGTTCCGAGCGCAGCTGTCAGAGATGTTTGGGTCGATTAAGACCGCAATGGTTGAGTATTTTGATGAGCGATATGCAGCTCTAGCAGAGACAGTTGTCGCTGCAGCCACTTCGGCTTTAACTACGGCAGGGGTTGGAGGAGGAGCCGGCAGGGCTTTTCAGTACTGTTACTTCGATAATATGAAGCCCCCGACGTTTGATGGTACACAAGATGCGATTAGGGCTATGAGGTGGTTATTTGACGTGGAGGGCTGTTTCTTCACGTGCTCATTTCCTGCTGACCAAAAGGTCAGGTGTGCCCTGAACCTGCTGAGGTTTGGGGCAAAGGAGTGGTGGAGGTTGACGACTGGGTCATATACTGATGATCAGCGGGCTGCTGTTACTTGGGAGCAGTTAAGAGATATGTTATGCACCCGCTACGTTCCACGCGTTGAGCGGGAGCGACTTGCACATGAGTTTCTGACCTTGAGACAAGATGGGGAGTCTATGATGGAGATTACCTGTATGTTCATGGAGAGGGATATGTTTTGCCCGGAGTTCGCTTCATAGCAGTCTCAGATGACTCATTATCTAAGTATGCTCAAGACTGATATTCCACAGTTTGTGTCAACACAGCGATGTGATACCCTCTTGGACCTTCAGGAAGCGGCGAGGCAGTGTGAGTTGGAGATAGAGCTGCAGCTAAAGGAACAACATTAGGCACCGACACAGTCTCAGCCGATGCCTAAGCGATCTAAGACCACTGATAAACAGTCTAGGGGTCAGCAGAGCTGGACTTGCGGAAAGTGTGGCAGGATTCATTCAGGGGTTTGTAGAGCAGGAATTGGGTGCCACAAATGTGGCAAGGAGGGGCACTATGCCAGGGACTGTCGTCAGTCTGCCCCTCCCGCAGATATGAGGATTCGTTACCATTGTCATCAGGTTGGTCATGTGAAGACCAATTGTCCGCAGCTTGCCGCCAAGTCGGCACAGGGTTCCACGTCAGCTGCTGCAAGGATTGGAGAAGGGAGGCCAGTCAAGTTAGAGCCTCCGAAGGCTCAGGGTCGTGCCTTCTAGCTCACGACCAAGGAGGCCAAGTCAGCACCGGATATGGTTGCTGGTATGTTTCTATTCTTTGTCTTAGTTATTGTATTGTGCTATGCTTATTGATTGTACCTGTGATTAGGTACGTTTTTAGAAATTCTTTTGCCCGCTATAGTATTATTTGACTTGGGGGCGAGTCGGTTGTTTGTATCTCAGTCCTTCTATAGAGGGTTCAGTATGCCGATAGATGATCTTGAGTATCCGTTGCGAGTTTTGATCGCCAATGAGCATAGGGTTTCTGCTTCTTCGGTCTACCGGGGATGCGGTTTAGATATTTTTGGGGTGTCCTTCCTGATAGAATTGGTTCCTATCCCCATGGGGGATGTATGCGTGATTATAGGGATGGATTGGCTTAGCCGTTTTGGCGCCATGATCGAATGTGAGGGACAGCGGGTGGTGGTTTGAACCCCAAGTGGGGGAGAATTTGTAGTGTATGGTGAGGGCACCAGGATGGTGTGACAACCCGAAATTTCCATTTGTACGAACCTTATCTATTCAATAGAAGCTAGTCCAGTTTCAGTGAATTTCATACATTTCCGAATCAGTTTGTGTACATTAGGGTTTACATTTAAGGAGATATCGGGCGAGTGGATGCTCCTGGGTTTGTGAAATTTGAACATTCCAAGTTTCATATTGTTATAGTCCAATTTCTAGAATAAAAATATTTTCTGTCAAAATATTTCAGGACTATAAATAGATTTCTGAACTAAATTCATTCATTATTCACAATTCCAACTAGAGAAAAGCCATTTTCTCTCTGACGGATCTTCGGGTTTTCATCCCAGATTGTGAGTCTACTTTCCTAGATGTGTTTTATTACTTTTTTTATGCTTTATAACACAGATTACATGTCTAAAGTACAAGATCCGGGAGCTTACGGCCCAAGAACGTTCTTGGGGTGTAAACTCCAAAACAAGGCCTAAAGGCTACCTAGTCTCATTTCTATGTTAGGTATCTAGTTAAGGACCTTAGGTATAAACATTAGAGGCTAGAAATCAATCAAGAACAACTAGTTATAGGATTTTACGGCCAAGGATATGCTCTTGGGCCGTAAACCCCTTTTTCAAGGGCAAAGTGTACCCTAAACACCCCTAAGGCTTTAAGACAATTAGCCTTTGATACTTAGGACTTGAATGGGGAGTAAATTACATCAAAATCATCCCTAAAAGGGAGTTTATGGCCAAGGAACATCTCTTGGGCCGTAAACTCCAAGTAAAGGCACAAATGTGTGCCTAATGTCCCCTTTAGCCTAAATCAAAAACATGGAAGTTATACTACATGTGCAAGTGACTTAAAAGAATTAAAACCAACACCCCATAGGAGTTTACGGCCGTAAACTCTAGGGGATATGGTCTTTTGGCCGTAAACTCCCCAAAGGAGCATTCTAAGGCCTTAAACTACTTCAAGGATTAATCTATCAATGCTAGGCTTATTCTAGGATTCATTTAGCACCTTAAAACACCCAAAACCACCAAGTGTGGAGTTCACGGCCGTAAACTCAAGGAGTTTATGACCGTAAACTCCAAAGGTGGGGTTTGTTGGGTGGTGAATTCTTTTACAAGGTCTTTTGAAGCTTCAAACCCTTTAACCTTGTCCCATAGCAACTTAAATGCAACCATTAGGACCTATAACACTTATACAAAGTGTTTACATGTTCCTAAGTGTCCCAACTTACTTTGTTAAGTTATTATTTGGCTAATTAGTTATATAGATTCTCATTATATGATAACTAGGCTCGTGCGTGTGAACAAGTCTCCGTTTGCCACCTAGCACGGTACCCGATACATCAATCCAATCTACTCACCACAAGTGAGTTCATACCCCTTTAATCAACCTTTGAAATGCTTTTAAATGTTTTAAATACTTTATGGGGGGGATAAAAGTTAAATACTTATAGTTATTGCATCAATCACATGTGATTGCATTAATCACATGTGATTAATAACTAGAAAACCAATGATTTATTCAAACTGTTTATCAAATTGTTTCACTTCAAAATGTTTTACAAAATCTTTTACTTATCAAATTGTTTTATTAAACTTTAGTTTATTCCTTATAAAAATTGCATGCCCATATATGTATAGATATATAAGTAATGTTTAAAGGGCTTAGGAAGGCTATCCGCCCTATTTCCTTTTCCTCGATTTGGATGTGGTCTGGTGGGATTTCGGGTGACCACACTACTAGAAAAAAGGCCTTTTACGACGCTCATTGCGCATCGTAAAACGCTCAAACGACGCGCAAATGCGCGTCAAGGAAGGCCCTGTCATAAAGAGAGACGACACGCTTTTGCGCGTCATCTATAGACGACGCGCATTTACGACGCGCATTTATGACGCGCATTTACGACGCGCGGTTATGACACGCAATGCGTATCAAGGAAGGCCCTGTCATAAAGGAAGACGGCATGCATTTGCGTGTCGTAACCTTACGACGCGCGTGTTTATGACACGCAATGCGTATCAAGGAAGCCCCTGTCAAGAAAGGCCATGTCATAAATGAAGACGACACACATTTTTGAGTATCGTAATTTTATTTTATTTTTTTTAAAAAAATATTTATAGATTTACTGATTTTTAAATTAAATTTGCATTTCATATATATGATAATAGAAAAAAAATATATTTATATATTTATTAATTTTTAAATTAAATTTGCATTTAATCTCTCATAATAGAAATAAAATACCATATACAAAAAATACAATCCATTGCATAATATAAAATAAAATTTCATAGTCAAAAAATAAAATAAATTGCACAAATTATAATATGTGTGTAATTGTCTCCTTCATGATCAGCCTCCATGTCCAAAGTCGGATCTACCTTCCTAATCTGTATGGATCTACCTTCATATAATAATGTTACCTGCCCATATGCAAAGATACAACTATTATATCCAGACAAACAATTCTCCACCATTGGTAGACCAACCATCCTAAAAAGAGTTTCCTGCACAAATTCATACTTCTTGTAACACATTGCAATTAAGAGAATCAAATTCATGTAGAAACAGAACTCAATATTGCTCATTTCTGGTACCTGGTCAATTGTTTCACAAGCAACATGGTCAAAAGTAAATCGTGTTTCTGGATGCCCTACCCAGGTCAGGCATTGTGCAGTTTCTTGTTGTAAACACCTGTTGTAACCTTGAGCACTGAGTTCCATGTTGTTGAGAATTGGAATATTATAAGTAAAGACCAAGTGCAACTGAAAAATGTACCATTTAAACTTAGACTGATAATAAGTTTTTTTTTTATTTTACTGAGAAAAGGTAAAAGACCAAGTGCAAACCTCTAATCTAACATAATTGTTTTCTTTATTGTCCTGTGCAGCTTCCTATTGCCATTTTCAAGAAGTTACTTCATAGATGATGGGTGAAATAGGAAAGCTTAAATACCAAAACTTGCATATCTTACATTTTGGATCTGATCATGAATCTTGTCTTCTCTAAACTTCAACATCATCTTTGTGCACTTATTGTCATCCTCTCTTTGACGAACCTAAAAGTAAATTTCAGTTTTAAATACAATATGCTAGTGATGTCATATTATAGACCAAATTGGATAATAATTTACCAGTCGATTTAACTGTTCTATTTCTGCTTCAAGTTGTTTAATAGAAGCTTCCGACATTTGATCTCTCCTCAAGGCTCCAGTCAATGAAGTCTCTAAAGATTTCAGCTGAGAAACAGAATGAATACAAGTAAATGAGAACCAAAATGGTAAAATCATCAAACAACAAGGTTTTGTCGGCTTTGTAGTATCTAGTTGAAAAACAAGTATAAATAGTAGCTAATCATTATAATTTCTTGTGAATTAGCACAGTGAAATAGTAGGTAAAACATGAAACCCCCTAAATATTACTTAGTATACCTGTTTAGAGGAAACCTTCAGGATTTTGTTATCATGTCTAGTGCAATCATTCTCGTGTTCTTGGGTAGCCTCTTCAATGACTTTTGGACCAAATGCTAAAGACCTGGATATGTTGTTCCTCTTAAGGATAGCAAGCTCCTCCTGACTGAATAAAAAGATGGTTACTTCATAGAATATGGATACAATTTTATTGGGTTTGAAAAAATAACAACAGAAGAAAAGAATTACCTTTAGCGGTTGTATTTGCTGTTGAAGCACCATGATATCTCCGGAGGCATCTTCATTTACAACACCCTTGGAAACAGAAAACAAGATGAAAAGTTTAAAAATCGTGCTTTGAATAAGATCAAAAAATTAAAAGTTTACAGTATTCACCTGTAGAAGAAATGTCAATCTTGAATCTCTATAAGGAACATGACGTGTCCTTGCATTAGCACCATCTACTAGAACCATTATCACATGACTAGAAAGATAGATTCCGTGTTACAAATATGGGAGGAAAACAAAACAAGAAAAAGTACAGCAAATAAAGTTGTTCATACCCTAGGGTAGATAATGATTTGTTTATATTTAATTTGCAGCTTCCTTTAATCATTCACCTTCAGCACCCGAAGTTTTTTGTCTATTAAGACAAAAGGAAAAGGTTTGATGAGTAACAAAACAAGAAACTATAAAAAAAAAGATTGTAATCAAATGCAGCACCTTTCTGAACCAGCCAGATCAACAAGATTCAGCCTTGCAAATCTAAGGTTAGATGTCGAGTCTTTCTCCCACCTACTTTCAATCACACACGTGAAAACACTGTCATTGCTTTGATACCCTTTAAAGTTGCAAGTGCAGAATCTAAAGCATTCACTTTAGGGATATTTCCTTTCTTTAGATTTTTGTATGTGTTAATAAATGGTTCAAGGGTAAGAAAATCTTCCAAAGCAAATGAATCACCATTGACTGCTAAGTTGACCACAACACTAGCCAATTGGTTCACACTTTGGGTACCAGAAAGTACATTTGCCTGATCGATTTGTGTCTGCGAGAGAAGGGTATTTCCGTAAATTACCATAAACAAAAAAGAAAAAAAAGTAACAATGATACAAACCTTGACTTTGTCCCTAGGTTGAGCACTCCCTTTAAGAGATAACTTTCTGGATTTGAGAATGTCTGAAAGCATAATAGCTAACCAACCTTGGGAAATGGGAATGGAAGAAGGCCCATAATCTTCACAGATACGAGAAAGGATTGTCATTGCAGAAGATCTAATAGCATCAGATGAAGTTTCCCTAAATACCCATGGAAGCAGAATGCAAGACCATTTTTGTCCTTCTTCAAGAGACAAACGCATGTCCCCTGAACAAAGTGATTCCAACCCTTTTGCTAATGATTCTTGAACAGACTTATGATTCATAGTCCTTTTAGCAGTCTCCCTCATTAAATGAAGACCTTTTTCCATAACTACCCTTTGAGCACCAGGGTACCTCTCGAGAGATAGTAAAAATTCAGATAAAGCCACACGAGTTAAAGAGATATCATCGGGTTTGCTTGCTTGAGAAACGGTTGTAAGAAGGGTAGAACTCCAATCAGAAACAAAATCATTCATGGGGAGATTTTCGTCTTTTAACAACAACTGAGCTACTAAACTCCCGTGAAATTTCACGGATCTTTCAGGAGCAATCAATGCAGACATGACAGCATGTCCATTGAAGTCGAGTTCTTGGATATGGTGAAGGAATGGAAATAAAACATAAAAAAAAAACAGAAACCCTAACCAACCTTGGTCGTTGAGATGATGGTGGAGCTTTTCCCTTGACGCAAAACCCTCCATGGTATCAAGCTCAATCTCTGTAGCCCTACGATCTGCCATGTCCAAATCTCTCTCGTCGTCCAGAGAATCGTCCAACCCAACCGACCTTCATAGCCATTTCTATTGATTTCCAACTCGATATCATAAATTATGTTTCGACATGAGAGTGTGGGGAGGTTTCAAGAAGAACAGAGCAGAAGCAACAACGCAAAAGATAACATTAGGTATCGAGGGCTAATCGAGTTTGATTAAAAAGGTTATAAAACTCGTAATAAAGGAAAACAAACCTCTGGAACAAATAAAGAAGTAGAATGTTGATGGTGATTGACCATGGAGTTTCGAGACCTTGACTTTAATGGAGAGAGAGAGAGAGAGAGAGAGAAGAACGATTGAAAGAAGGTAGAGGAGAGCATGGAGGGGTTTTTAATTTTTTCAGAATTTCATTTCCCCCTTTCCCCCGCTATTAAAGGATGGAACGCGCGTTCCATTAAAAAATATAAAGTGACATCCTTAGACGACGCGCATTTTATTATAGGTGCCCTCCGTGTTTTTTTTAAGACACTAATTTAAGGGTGCGCAATAATGCGTGTCTTCTATCCTTAAATTTTTTGAAGAGATGACATTTTTCTAATGTCACTCTCCTTTGCGTAACATAGATCAATGAGCGTCGTATTTTGCGCGTCGTAAAAGGCCTTTTTTCTTGTAGTGCCATCCGAAGGTCGTTTCAATATTAGTTATATATCATATATACATGTATAGACATAAAAGTACTTCCATATTCATACTTATTAGTACATCAATAATTAGTTACCATCGGGGTAACACAGAACATATACAACTATACTAGAAATAGAACATATACAACTATACTAGAAACAGAACATATACAACTATACTAGAAACAGAACATATACAACTATACTAGAAACAGAACATATACAACTATACTAGAAACTGAACATATACAACTATACTAGAACGAGAAACATTAGATACACATGAACACGTTAACAATTATGATCCACTGTGTCGGAGCATGCCTTAAATGTCATGGCCCGAGTTGTAGCCAGAATTCTCTTGGAGGGAGAGCGTGAGTTTGCGTATAGATCTATACTGGATTGACTATCCTACACCTTGCTGCTAGCTACAGCCGGACCTGCAGGTCTGCGGGTGCCAAACGTCATTCCGTTATTACGACCATTCGTATGTCGTTGTTACCAGTCGATAGTATGGTGCAATTTATCACATGATACCTTAATATAAATCCGGTTTAAGGTAGTTAGTACAACAGTAGTTCCTATAATACAAAACTATAGTACTACAATGATTTACCCATTACATATTTTTGTGACAACCTCACTTAAACGTTAATGTACAAACTATATTTTGTTAAATGATAGTTACACATGGGAAATTACACACTTTTACAACAAACGAGCATACAAAACAATTAAGTCTTGGTAGAAGGCTACTTTAATAGAAAATATAGGTTTTTCTGAGAGATTCAAACTTTTACAAACACTTACAAACATTTACATACATTTTACAAACTTACACTTGATACATGTTCAAACGTTTTTGGATGACAAATACCGACACTAAAATACTTATGAACTCACCAGATTAATGCTGATAAACTCTTTCAAAATAACTTGTATTCTCAGGTCATCAGTAGACAGGTACCGAGGCCAGCTTTTGAGAAGATGGAGCGCATCCAAGACTCATCTTATTATTTTGATATACATTATTTTTGGTGTCTATATTGTACAGAACACGCTTGTATTAAAATTATATATTTAATGCAATGGATGATGTTGTTTGCTTATTTACATTTACTGTGTTGTGATACTTTACATGACGTCCTCCGCTCCAGAACGTTTCCGCCGTTCTTGGTTTTGGGGTGTGACAGATTGGTATCAGAGCATTGTTTATAGTGAATCAAGTATATCACCCATAAAAGATATACTAAACTATAAACCTATTTGGGATTAAAACACTCTGACCAAGAGTCTATACTTTAAATACTAAAATATTTAATTAAGTATACTAGTCTGCATTCATACTAAAACCAGTGTCACAACGACAAGAACAAAAGTATTACGATTGTTAAATACCACAGGTAAGCTCGGGGATGTATGGTCAGTCTTGGGAATGGCATAGCCTGATCAACTATGCTGGTCCGATGAGTGATTAGCATATGCCCTAGAATGGTTGTGATATGTTAATGAGTCTAAAAACCTACCAACACTACTATGATAAGAACATTAGGACAGAATATAAATCTAAAATACTATAGGAGTATTTTGGGTTACTATAACTACATACCTGAGAACTAACAAGGGCCTCTATCAAGTAAGTCAATAATTGTTAAGTGTGTACGCTAAGGTTATATGACATTTAGGTATTATAGACTCAGAATCTGTGATCTTTGCCTCACTTCCTGTTCCTTGTTTGGTTGTGGATTTGGAGTTAGGGCCACTTATTCGAATGACTATCCTACCCTAATTTCATATAACTAAGTATCCACTACACAAGTATTGACTTAACTGATGAAGATCATATTATAAGTATCTTAGTTTAGTACGCCTATTTATAAAAGATTCTTATATCCCTTTTCTCGCATAGATATCATGGCTGGATTTCATCACGGCGACCCGTACTTTCCAAATGAAGGCAACGCAGGATGGTTCGAAGCAGAGTCTGATGATGAGCACCAAATTCCGTTGGATGATCATCAAGCTGAAAGCTTCTCGGATGGATCAGACTCTGAGCCCGAAGTCAACAACCTACCTCCAGTAGGTCAAGCCCCGAACAACAACCCTCGACCAGCTTTTCCAGGTCCCACTCCCTTGTGGGTAAATAAATTGAATCGCTGGAGTGACGAACAGGGTCAACCCTTACCATACATTGGGGACCGAAGCTTTTACAACATCAGCGAAGGTGGTTCTTCTGACCGAGCGCTGCCCGTCATAATCCACAGAATAGCTCGTAATGTTGAGCAAGGTCGAGCAGCCATCGACCGGGTCGTGGAGATTGATGCCAACTCTGGTGTCAACACAGTCCGCATTCGCCATCTCGAAGAAGACATGGAACGGACCCGAAGAACCAATGAAACTCTACAGCAACATCTGGTTTCCTCTCAAGCAGAAGTCATGGAACTTCGAGCTCGTCAAAGGGCTCAAGAACGACACCTTCAAGAGGTGTTCCGTCAAATGAGAGACCTCAGGGATCTCCCGAGGAATACTCATCGCCGTTAGATGATGTCTAGTACATCATTATCTTTTGAGTTAAGGATTAGCCTTTAACATCTGTGCTCTAAGTAGCACTTATCTGTAAAATATTCCTAACTTTCAGTACTCTAATTAGGAATCTAAGAACTGTCAAACTTTCTGTATGGTATGATGTAAGACCTACTGTTAGGTCAATTTTCATTGAACTCGTTACATCAGTAATACCAGTATTATTGACAACTACCTACTTTGTGGGAAGAATCTTTACACTTGTGTTTTCCTACGAATCTTCCTTGTTATGATCTCAAACACTCATTCAATTGTTGGGCTATGGTTAGTTAGTCCATGTGTCACTCTCACCTTACTTACAAATTGATTCTTACCACTTTTCTCATCTTTATAAACTTATAGCTGAAAGATGCCGCCTTGCAGATCTACCAGGAATAACCCTACACCTCCACCGCCTCCGGTTATCGATACTGCAGCCCTGAATGCTGCCGTAGCTGCAGCAGTGGCAACTGTCATGGCTCAGTATCACTCTTCTGATGCCAGTAGAGGTGGAACCCCTGTTGAATCTATTCCGGTCGAAATCCCTGTGCGCTCGAGAGAGTGCTCTTACAAGGATTTCACCAACTGCAAGCCGAAGTCCTTTCATGGGACCGGCGGAGTCATTGCTCTCTCGCAATGGTTCGAGAAGACTGAATCAGTCTTCGAAATTTGTTCATGCCCTGCTGCGAGCAAAGTCAAATATGCCGCGTGCACCTTTGAAGGAAAGGCACTGACGTGGTGGAACGGCCACGTTAAATCTCTAACTCTCGTCGTGGCCAACCACATAGGCTGGGAAACGATGAAAGACCTCATGATTGAGGAATACTGCCCGAGGGGCGAGATCCAGAAACTAGAGCAGGAACTTTGGAGCCTGACCATGAAGGGCACCAACATTGTTGCTTATACCGCCAGATTCAGCGAACTGGTGGCCCTCTGCCCTAATATGGTTCCCACTGAAGGGAAAAAGATCGAAAGGTACATATGGGAGCTAGTGCCTCCGTATCAGGGGAATGGCCTATCATCAAACCCCGCTACCTTCGATAGTGCCAAGCGACTAGCACAGCGAATCATTGACCATGGAGTCAAAACCCTTGCAACCACAACAACCCTAGCCATCCCGGAACCCTCTAAACCCGCTGACACTAAGTGGAAGTTCTGGGATGACAAGAAGAAACAACGACCTGCCAAAAAGCAGCAAATTGTGGCAGTGCATGCCGCGGTAACCCCTGTTACTGTTCCGATGAAGCAGTATGCTGGAAGTTTGCCAAAGTGCAACAAATGCAACTTCCACCACAACGGCCCCTGCCGTGAAATGCAGTGCTCTAACTGCAATAGGAAAGGACACACCGTCCGTTTCTGTAAGTTCCCAGCACAACCGATCACACAAGTCCCCGGCTCTGGCGCGAGCCCGACCTGCTATGGATGTGGCGAAGCAGGCCACTTTAAGAGGGACTGCCCCAAGGCGAAGAATGCTGGAGGAGCAGGGAGGGTACTAGCTATAGGCCACGGGGAAGCAGTTGCTGACCCGACAGTGGTGACTGGTACGTTCCTCCTCGATAACTCCTATGCATGCATTATGTTTAATAGTGGAGCGGAGCGAAGCTTTGTGAACCATAAATTTGCTCGCATGCTTAAACAACAACCACACGCACTTAAAGAACAATTCACAGTAGAAATGGCTAATGGAAAAACAGAAAACACCAGTAGCATATACTTAGGATGTACCCTAACTCTAGATAACCATTCATTCCCAATCGACCTCATGCCGGTCTCAATAAAAAG